CCATTTAGTAAGATAAATTTCGCTGAAAGTTCCTCAAGGGTTGTTGTGTAAATATACCCGGTATGTGGTATATCACAACCGTTAGCTTGTTCAGAATCATTACACAAAATACACCTTGGTGAATACCAATTTTCGAAACAGTCCAATAGAGCACATTTCAACAAAATAACAGAGTGACGAAAAAGCTCATCTTCAGATTTTCATATTCATGCAAATACATCCAATTCATATTACTATTTTCGAATGAATTTTCCTTGGGAAATTAGAAAAAAATCAGAGATTACTTGAACCAATTTCATCGTGAGACCTGAAATCACCGCGATCATATTTGTTTCTCCACTAATCCGATCATCGAGATTACTCGTGATACGGTGTGTGGCAGGAGGGGAGGGGCAGGGAAGCTTTAGCGCTTGCAAAAGTTGATTTGTGCACACAAGAGAGGGTTGTACAGACCAATGATCCCCACTTCTGCTGTGGCCAGTACACCTCTCTCGATAGTCGCCCACGGACTTTATAGAAGGGGCTGGAACCCCTTGACCACGTCCACAGTATGACTTGTTTCAGCTAGGTGTAAAACCACTGCACTGGTGAGCGACTTAATCATCCCGATGTTCAGCTACGCAGGGTGGTGTTCATGAATCCGTTCGGACAAGTGCCTGACCGTGCGGCCTATGTACGTTGTTCCACAGGAAAAAGTAAATGAGTGTACACAGAATGAGACAGCAGAGTCCGGAACTTAATCCTTCAGCCGCAACACACAACTGGCTTGGACATGAACAGCAAACGAAGCTTGGATGCATATAGATTGCGCCGGGGAATCTTCCTTGCATGACCTCACCTGATGTATCCCCTTTGAACGGCAAAGAAATATTTAGGGAGTTTGTCTTAACCTCCTTGATTTGGTAAGACTTTTCCACGAACTGAATCATCTTGTTGACAAGACGCTCTGAATATCCTTGAAGAGAAACGATTGATTTTATAATACGGAGCTCTTCTTTCAGCGTGTCCGCAGTAAAGATTGTTCTTGCCCTGTCAGTAAGGCAACGAACCAGGTTCCTTTTACCCTAAGTGGTACAAAGCATCGGAGATGAATGCATCGGTCTTTCTATGCACGGAACGCTGCACCTAACCATGTGATCGACGGGTGATGCAGACACCTAGAAACGGCAATTGGTTGTTACACTCCATTACTAAAGTTATTGTTATGTTGAGATGCACAGTGTTGTACCTGTTTATTCAGTTTCAGTTTTTCAGTTTCTACAACCAATAACCATGCATTACCGTGCGCCGGTTTTGGTTTCTGTCTTTTGGCTGCCCAACTGAATAGACACTAGGAGAAAGGCAAGAAAGGCTGAAAGTAGGATCAAAGAGAAACTTTAGGTTTTCATTGAACTATTGTTGCAGATAAATGGACAATATGCACGAACGTCACTGTTTACGATACCCAGCCATATCGCTCAGTGTCTCTAATCATTGAGTATGATCATTCCAAGGTCCTCGTCTAGGGAGCCTAACGGAAACTACAGGTATTGACCAAACTCGTGCAACATACTGATTTTCATCATATTTGTTCCTCTCAATGCTTCATTCTTTCAGCCTCATTCATGGGATTGAATTGGATATTGCTCCACATCAGATGCAACATATCTGATATAATATCCACTTGTGTCACTGCTTATATTAGCCAAATGCCATTAAATTTTACAATTTCGCGATTTTGACGACGGTTGCTGGTGCATCAGTTGTAAGATAACAAGGTCACAGTAGAATAAACACCCACGCTACTTTGCCCAAAGTATTTTTCAAAGCAGAGCTGTAACTTTCGAACTACTACAAATTTCATAGCGACACTCAAGGCCGCGCACATTTAAATGATCATAGAAATGAACTAAGAACTTAGATGTTGGAGATAAAGTCAGGAATAAATACACTGTACTCATAACCATCTATATATAAGTATGCTATTGCAAGCTGAAATGGATTTTCAAAATGAGGGTGATGTTGCACGAGTTTGGTCAACACCTGTATGTGACCAAATCCCCTGATTAGTTACGTAGCCTCAATTTCCTAATCAACTTCATGTCTCCGATGCGTAAGTTTGTGCTCAACAATTGAGGGGTTTCAATATAAATTCAATTAACTTGATTTTAACAAACAGCAAATTTAAACAGTGGACTGGAATACTGTGATTGTCAACATTAATTGAGTAGTTCGAGTATAGCTTCTTAGAGACATCGAGGGTGAAATCTAGAGAACAACATCGATATTATTTATTCATCTGAATACACTTGGGTTGTCTATTGTACATCTCACACTTGCTTCAGTGATATCAATGATTATACAACATAAGTTAGTTTTCCACTAAAATTTCCCGTAGGCTTTCACGTACACATATTGGATATTACTAGTCAAAGAATCCTAAGAGTTGCATAAACATCATATTGTGAATCAGATTTTGCACATTTTGTGGAAGAGCACATTGTTACATATAGGGTTTTTTGAATATGGTAATTGTAACATATCACCCACGAACCATTTTGGAGGAGATTTCAGTTCGTGTGAAAGGTACTGAAGGTTCTTTTGAATTATTCATAAGTCGATTTATTAAAATCTTCACAATAACTGAAGCAGAAAAACATTGCCAGCATTAAAACCACAGCGGAAAAAGGTAACACTAGGAAGGAGGGAAAATGCATAAATGTCATGTTACCCGTTGCGATCAGTTGCGATTGCATGTCGGTTTGGTTGGTTTAACGCAAACGCACTACCCAAAAATAACCTCATGTCCACTTGTCCACAGAATGTTCTTAATTAAGATAAACCACCAGCCGGAATTGTGGCTGATTATACTGTTTGGATTATCGATCAACATTTGTTTGCTGCTTACCCCAGCAATCGCGGTTTCACTGTGAATACAAACTAACATTTTCACACTGGATTTCCCTCGGATATGGTTTCAAGATTTATGTTTTTATGTTTTCCTTTGAGTGAATCATCCGAAGTTTCGTGACGACGATTGTTGACATTTTAACTGGCACGCTGTTCACGTTGACTTTTAATTACAAAGTAACCATTCACACAGGGGTGGTGTGGTAGAAAGATCTGTTCAACACCGTTTGTGGGGGCAAACAGGTCGGCCTGGTGTGCAGTTTTCAGGTTGCTGCACCATTTGAGAGGTAACAGCTTGAATAAAAGTTTATGTTTATCATTGTTTTTGATACAATTCTCACAGCGAGGGCGCTAATCATTGTATAGAACATATGTGATATATGTGTTCTTCAGAATATTTCTAAAGAATCGGCTTTCCATAATACCTTTGGAGTCATGTGACTTTCAACAGTCAGTATAGTGTTCCACTGCACAGCACTTTCAGAACCATGTCTCAAAACTCGTTGACTCTGTTTACATTTGTGGGAATAATAAGTAGACTAAAGGGATTAAGATTGAAATATCCCTGAAGAGATTCGTTTCAAACATTCAGTGATTTGAATACGTGAGAAAACGCGACCTGAATTAGAGTGATAAGCATTGCCCCTAAAGTGTAGCATTGGAAAACCCATTAGAGAGATACAAATTCCAATTATTTTTACGGAATTTTGCTTTATATCAAACATCAGAACTTCAGCTTCAAACTCTGATTTCCTGTACACAATAAGGTTGACTCGTATTTCAAATGACACTGGGCAATTCTTTTAAGTTAGTACGATCTCTCAGATATAATAGAAGAAAATAAAGATACAGAAACGATGGTAGACTGAACTTTTGTAAGCTCGTTGAACTCATTTGCCACTTGAAGATGCACCCTAAGAGATTCATTTGTTTATTATTAAAAATGATGCACCGCGGGTAGTAAGGAGAAGAAAAGGTTTCTTGAATTAAAACGCGGATCATCCTTATGAGTTCACGTAATTGTCTTCGTAACTGCATTATCTTAAACTCAACAAGTATCAATGGGTAAAATAGAACGTTGCTCTCGTTCACACCTATATTAGATGCGTAAGAGAGAGGAACCTTCTTTTTCACAAAACCATCCGCCGTTCATTCCCTTTCAGTCTATTTCTATCGCTTTCCATATCGATCAACCTAATAAATAAATTAATGAGTTGCGAATTTCCACTCCGATTGGTATACGTCAAAACTCCTGTGCAGGTGTAAGCCTGTGCGTGTTTTCCGTGCATACGTGTGTATGACTGTCCAAAGCAGTAGAATTCATCTCACATTCTGAGCGAGTGAATCCTTTGTTCCGTGCCGCCAGCCAGTCAACCAGACCATATTGTTTGGGGGAATACTATTCAACGATAAGCAATATCAAAAGGGGGGTGTTCACTCATGACAAACCATAACCGGTTTCACGCCTCATACAATCTCCAACAGCTTCCTTGTTTAGCAGGAAAAACTGCATGTGAATTTGTTTGACCCTCGTATTGTGATATTATAGTTTGCTGTAAATTTCGGCAACAGGAATAATTGGCAAGGAGTTGTCTATGCTAGTTAAATTGAAGCGAGTGAGAAAAGGTTTGCTGAGGTTGGTTTTATACACTCCGGTGAGTGGCAGTAAACCCTTAAGGTTAACGGTTCAAAACAATTTAATATTGTATTTTGTTTAGTAAGCGACTATTTCACTAGTTCAAATTAGACTATTTGATCTAACCCGATGAAGGTAATTTTATCAGTCATCTCGCCATGCTAACGTGATGATACTACTGACAGTCTACTTGAAAGAAATACACTTTTGGATTTGAAACGCAATCAAATTTCAAAGGTTCGTACCGGTAAGGAATTTACATCTACTGAAATGCAGGCATTTTAAGAAACATGCTTTTTTATATCATTCGCTCATTAATCAATATCAATCATTTCCAACTATTCCCTAATCACAGGCCTCAAAATTTGTTCACTATCTGACCGAACTCCGGTCATCTTCGCCATCCTCAACGTCCTCCAAGGCAAGGTCCTGCATTACTAGTGACCTCCCGGAACCGTGTCTAACAACTAAAGAGATGAGCATACACGGAAGCTCTAGCGGATGCAGTTCGGGCAGCAGTGCCGAATCTCAGGTATCTGCCAGTGCTATTGGTTGTATCGAGAAAGCTGAAGATTACGGTCATCTGCACAGTGCATGGACCACGTGGTGTCCAACACCTCGGCAAAACGTCGATCAAATACATCCCCAGGTATTCTCTAAGGAAATGAGTCAAAGAGCGCCGTAAGTTTAAAAATATCCATTTTATTTCTCTCGCCATTGAGAAAATATTCCAGTGAAACAAAAGCCCTTGGATGTGTATGCAAAGTTCGAAAAAGCTATTTTCAGATTTATTTGCCGTTCATTCCGCAATCTAAAATCCACAATTACTAGACGCAATTTCAGCCTACACGGACTATTCCGATAACTCAATATCCGACTGACGGAATTGTCTGCGTTGTGGGACATGGATACTCGTCACCATTCGTGCCCGTCACCATGACGGAAAGAAAAAGAATACTGTGGTTGTTTGCAGTAGCCGTGTGTCTGTGGGTGCGTGCGTGCTTGCGTGTGTGTAGGTGCCATGTTTTATGACATGACCGCATAATGCATGCACGAAGTTGTCCAAAAGCAACGGTGTCAGTCGATCAGTGAGATAAGTGAAGTACAAATCGATAGCTTCAAAAATTACTTTTTATCTGCCGAAATCTGACCACCAGGCCAGGTGATTAGTCGTTGTTTCTCATGAGTAAAAATCGGAAATATTCTTTGAATGACGATGTTGTATGTTGAAAAATCAATATCGACCTCTTCCTGTGTTACTCAAAACATTTTAAATGGTTTTCAGGGGACTCCTTCACCAGCTTCTGATACCTGCGCGGGTTTTATTGTAGTTATGCAAGGCCTGTTTTTCTTTACTGCAGGGAAATTGTTAGAAACAAGTAAATTGGTGCAGAGTATTTTCATTTATACGTACATTTATGACTAATTTTATCAACCTCGCGTTTGTAGAATATCTATTGAATTACATTGCGGACATCCTGTGTGGATAAAGCTACGCATAGATTTGTCCCTTTTAATTACGAATTTTGGATTGCTGTATTATATACAAGTTGAACCCCTAGTGGCAGTATGCCTGTATTTTGGTGTGGCGCGCCATCGCAAATGATTGGATTCCATTTTAGAAACAAACCATCGTTCACGTAAAAAGAGTAGTATGGTGAAGATATGCTTATTTTCCCTTCAGTTCTTCTGTTTGCTATATGCTTGTATTAGATTGACCTCGAAATAAATCAGGCGCATGGTATTTTTTACTCGCTTTAGTTATTTAGCTGGGAGGTTACGCACTTTCGCCTGACTGGAAACATTTGGGAGAAAAATGATGGATCGCAGGAAAATGGATGTTTGTTTCTCCAACCATGGAGCAAAGTGGAACATTGATCAATTAATGGATTAATGCGGACGATGGATAAAACACAGTCAAGTCAGACATTGAGCTTTTCACTTGTACTTCGGAAAGAAAAAGTATGACCACAAAGCAGTAATTGTTGATAGACATAATTTAGAGACATTTGTTTATCTGCGGTGTTTAAAGTGACTCGGGTGTCTTCTGGAGTTCCCAAATATCAACAGTAATGAAGAACGAATCATAAATAGAATAATGGATGTTTTTATATCAAAAACATTTTAATAATATCCCAAGCGCACCATTGTGTGGAATGAAGGGGGAAAATGGAATAGAATGAACAGCGTACTGTCGATGTGTTTTATGCATATTTTATTTTCATGGTCACAAAAGTCGAAATCTTAGTCAATGGAATTCAAACCCACGCGTGAATACCGCCTCTACCTCTGCATAGCGCACGCGTTATCAACTTAGCTATGAGATCGTACCAATAGTGTTGTGCATATGGAAATGTCAAAGCTTTGGATGTTCGCATGGAGGGTAGAGTGGTGTAGGTGGCGTGAGTTAGAATCCTACTGAAAACGAAAAAATATTTGGAGTTGGATACTTAACAGTCTTCTTGAAATCTGCACAGTGATGAAATTTACAGAGATAGCATCGTTTTTAATGTAGTGCAGGAAATGCCTCACCACGGAGGTTGTGTTCCCTCTCTTCAAAATATAACCATTTTTGTTCCGATGCATTACACTCTCCTTATCAAATTTCATTTTAAGCAATAAAACTACCGCTCCAAATC